GTTTAGTTTTCTGAAAAGTTACAGTATAACCATCTTTATCAGTATATCGAGAACTCAAGCTCTTGCCTCTCTTAGCATGATGGGAAGTTGAAGACATTCCAACTCTTTTTTCCGCCTGCATACTCTGTTCCACTGCTAGAGTCTCCTCTTGAGCTCTTTCAATAACCTTAGCTTGGTTAATAACTTCTTGCAAACTAGGTAAATTTAAAGCCAACATCATCTCTTTCAACTTAGGCCTCAAACCATCAATAAACCAATCACGTCGGGCTTTATCGTTGGGAACTACCTCAGTAGTGTAACGACTAAGCTTGTTGTATTCAACCTCACACTCATGTACTGCTCGATTGCCTTGTTTCAGATTAAGAAACTTTAGCAGCATTGACCGCATAAACTACTCCCCGATGTACTTGTTCTTAAACTCATCTTGAAAGAATTGCTAGGTCACCTGCTCAGAATGTGCATACATCGTAGTGTTTGTCCATCACACTCGAGCTGATCGTCAAAGTAAGGATACATATCTACCCAACTTCTTATAATCTGAGTACTGAAGACTTTCTAGCATCATCATAGTTTAACCATAAATCAGCATCCATTAGACCTTCATCCTCGTCTCCCCAGAATTCAGGAGCTCCCAAACTTCTCAACTCCTTTGGGATTAACATCCGCGGTGCTGGAGGAATGGGGGAGGTGGGAGGTGGAGGAGGTTGAAATCTAGTCAAGATTGCATCAAGAGCCTGCATAAAACCTCCAAACTCTGACATTGGCATACCTTGATGTGTCGCTGCACTAGCTTTTCAGACTGGATCGGATGCTCACTGTTAGCGTAATAGCTCTCACTACCCAACCCTTCTCTAATTTCTTAACCAGTCGCTCTTCACGAATTCTTAGAATCCAAAATCTAATAGAACATACATAAGGATAATACTTAAGTTAGTAAGGAGTGACATCAATCATATTCATACTACACCCAATTAGTAACATTGACATCTTAGTGGTATGTAAACCTTTTTTACAGTAAAATACACACGATTTCGACCGAGAACTGGATAAACTGTAGCTCTGATACTAATAAATGTAACACCCAATTCCTGTATACATCTTCGTACACGAGTCATGGATGTCACATCACTTTTAAAACTTTCCACTTTTGAAGAACCAATAAAAATTATGTTTCCAATCATAAAACATTTTAATTTAATAAACTAAAACATTCATTTACTTATAATATGTAAACATATCTTAAAGGTTCAAACATCTTTAAATTTTTTCATCATTATAAGTTAAAATACTTTTCAGAGCGTTATACTAAATCTATTACATGTCAACTAACAACATCAAAAGTAGACATAGTTGTCGTACAATTACTGATGAGGTGACCCTTGAATGATAATGTCAGATGCACTCCTTACTCTGCTCGCTAAAACCTATGCATGAAATAAACACACGTTAAGTATTTACTTAGTGAGGCAATAACACTAATAAGGTTAAATCAATACATTAATATATCATAACTATCAAATAACGAATTTATTATTTTCAAATCGTTATAAGTTCTTTGGTGTGCACACGTAGTGCCAATACGGTAATTCATAAACTTATTAAGAATTCTATGGGTTACACACTTAGTGTCGATATAGTCATTCATAAACTTATTATGAATTCTATGGGTTGCACACTTTGTACCGATACGGTCGTTCATAAACTTATTATGAATTCCATGGGTTGCACACTTAGTGTCGATACCGTCGTTCATAAACTTATTATGAATTCTGTTAGTTGCACACTTAGTGCCAATACGGTCGTTCATAAACTTATTATGAATTTCGTCAGTTGCACACTTAGTGCCGATGCAGTCGTTCATAAACTTATTATGAATTATGTGGGTTACATACTTAGTTTCGATATGGTCGTTCATAAACTTATTATGAATTTCGTGGGATGCACACTTATACATTAAACAAAATGCATCTATGACTATCATAACATATAAGTTCATAATAAATGCACTCACCTGATATGCCTGACTAGTATGCTGTAATGATGTCCGACTATTCGACAACTTTATCCTTGCCATTTTTCTTGCTTGACTCTAGAGCTTGGTTACGATCTACACAAGCATCCATTATTTACACATACCATACAAATGTTAGTATACTTTCTAACATTTACACTATTAACAGTACTCAAAAGTAATATTATTTTCAATTTCTAATAAAATTCATCCTATCTAAAAATTCTAGGCTCAATAGTATCGGTACCCCTACTATGGTATCGATACTTCTACCTATACTCCCTTCAGTATTGATACCATTTTTTGCATTCTGAATCCATAGTATCGATACCTTCCTCCTAGTATCGATACCCATAACAGTATCGATACTAATTGCATCAGTATCGATATTGTTCATATTATTTCCTCAAATTTAAACCTATATTATTGGTATTGTTCTTCCAGTACATATACCATAACCCATATTTTACCTATTTCACTTCGATTTTTACCACATTTTCATCTAAAAATCTTAATTTTATCACCAAACATAACCTTAAATTGATCATCACTAAACCCAACTAACTTTCCTTCATTTATCTTCCTATAACATCAAAAATCCCTAAAGAACACTCCAAACCAAGAATCACACTATTTTTTATACATGTTTTTAATCACATCCTAAGCTTCTAATCTCTCATTTACTTCTTTGACAAATCAAATTTACTTGTAAACCTGAATAAAAACTCATATTTCATCATATCACTCAAAAACTCATTTCCTTAAATCTCAAATAAATTCTTCATCTTTTAGTTTTGATCCTCCTTGAACGTTCCTTTAACCTCTATAACATTTAAGGTTTCAAAACCAACCCAAAAACGGAAAGAAAAACAAACATTGAAGAATCCTTACCTTGGTTATGGAGGGCATGAGACTACGAGGAAGAATAAGAAGAAGAGAACCACTTTGACTTATCCCCTTTCTTCCCTTATTTCCCTTATTAAATATCCTTAATAATAATGAATATTAAATTCATTTCCCTCCAAAGGACCATAATGTCCTTCTATTCTTGCTAATTAGTCTTAAACACAATTTCCTAAATCATTCCCTATACTTTTTAATCAACTCACTTTAACCCACCAAAATTTTAAATACTTTCACTATTGTCACTAACCTGATATATGGGGTATTACAGACCAGTCTATGGATTACTATATGCATGGTTTTGACTCTAAAGGAAAGGAAACTCGAATTGTCCTTGATGTTGGTGCCCGTTGGGCTGGCAAACCCTTGATCCTAACCCTTGATCTCTAAGGCTAGTGGCTATAGCTCATGAGGGGAATAAATTCACCACAAAAGCATAGCATTCACCCCTACTTAATTGGGACGAAGCTCGAGTATAGAGCTTATGTCATGTGATGCACGTGTAGTGTGTGAGGAAGGGCATGCCAACCTTTTTTCAAACAAGATTCCCAACACTAAATAAGCACCTTTGAAAATATTCGACAAATCTGAAAACAGAAAATTCAAAGATTAGTACAACTATTATAAACAGTTTGAAAAGAATTAATCAACAATTAATAAAATCAATCACAAGATAACTTTTGATTTAAGCTCTCTAATATCCACTACCATGATGTTATATAAGCGATTATTGGCCTGACTCTCGTTTATCCTCAGCAAATTCGCCAAGTTGCCATAATTTTTTTTTAAACAAAAATGATTTTAAATTTAAAGTATAAAAATTCATATATTTTGAAAGTTGAATAAATTTTAAATTGGAGTCTCCATCAACCTTTGGGTTTGGTATGTCGAGTACCTAAAAAGGTCTAAAAATAATTTAAACAAATAAATAATAAAAAAATTGAAAATAATTTATCTATGTTTACCATAAATTCTCTTTTAGGGATCAAAAGTCGATTAGATATGGGGAAGGGTAAGCACCCCCACAGGGTGTAAAATTGGTACCTAATCGCTCGTACTTTGTCATGGTAATGGGAATTAAAATAAATACTAAAATAAAAAATTATCTCACGACTTATTTTATTACTCATTAATTAATTCATTTTGAACTATAAGAAATATTTCCTATTTTGAGAAGAGATCACGAGATTTGCACATCCTTCAATGGAAGTCTCTCCCATCTACCTCTTCCCCATACAAGAATATTCCCTTATTATTTATTTAGGATCTCACATTAAGCATGATTCAAATATAAAATAAAAATTAAATTGAACAAAATACTAAAAATATACACATGATTGTTACTAAAATAAAGCAATTATTTATTCACTTTTATTTAAGGCATACTCAATTATTTTGAAGTTCGTTTTCATTTGAACATCATATTAAATCGTGCTACCTCGATAGGCTGGTATTTCACGGCCATTCTACGAAATTCATTCTTGAAAATGGACACGAGTATATATGAAAATTAGTAATCATTATTATTAATCTAAGGATATTTTACCATTTTAGTAAAATATTAGAGAACACTGTCATGATAATACTTAACCAATTAACACACACATAGGTACAAGGTAGGTAGAATTAATAGATTAAATCAGAACTAAATTAGAACTTAGGGACCTATTAATAAATAGTTCATTTTTATTTCATGTAAAAACTAGGCTTGAACAATGACCAAAACGAACATATAGTAAACCTATGGGGGTCTAAAGCATGGATATTATATTTTCAAAGATATAACTAGTTGATGACTGAAACATGTTAAACATAAAATTTAAAGGATCAAATTAAATATTTGACAAAAAAATATAACAAAGCATGAATAGTGATCGGAATGTAAACGGAATAAAACGTGCAATTTAAATTTAAAATAAGCCAAACATTCATTCAGTGACCAAATCATAAGGTTACAAAACATGAGACCCTCAATGGATGATTAAACCAAGCGCTAAACACATGGTTTTATACTACATAAAAGAGTGTCGTATGGATCAGGGTATAAAACACTAAAAATCGACCGAAAATGGCCATCCTTCTTTATTTTGTCGTTCCCTCTTTTTCTAGTTAAAAAGAGAAACAGAAGTTCTCTCAAACTCTCTCCTATATGCTCCTTGCCGAAGGAGGCACAAAGCCTCCGGCCACCATGAACCAACGTTACTGATGGCCAACTACGGTGGCTGTCAATCAAATTGAAACCTGAAAAGAAACTACTCCCCCTCCTAAACCTAGATCCAAACCCTTTTAAGCCAAAAAAACTCACGAAATACCCTAGATCTAAGGATTTACCTTAGAAAAACACCACCTTTCGGTGACGCTGGACTTGTCAGTGAGACTAGGGACGGTAAGCTTCTTTTTTCACCTTCGTCTTTCTCATTTATATTTTTTCTCTCTTGTGGTTGTCATTGTTAGCTGGCTCCGCTTTTTTATTTGAAACCCTTTTATACTAAAAAGCCCCATTCTTTTATCATTTTTGGTTGCATGTTAAGGGAAAAGAATCTATAATATTTTGCATTTGGTTTTTGGCTTCTTTTGGCTTTCGGTGCTCTGACCGAGGAGGGGACAACGCCAGGGGACATGTTTTACTGGTGGAGGTGATGTGAGCAAGGAACAGGTAAAAACTTTTACCTCGAGGCTTCTTTCATTTGTTTCTGTGGTGACCGGTGACTGTAGCAGTCCTCGGGAGTTAAGGAGTCATGGGTGGGAGCTTGAGCCTGGCGCATGCATATCATGACCATAAAGATCGACGGGGGCGTGGAGGCAACGGTGGGTTAAACAAGGTTTAAGGATGAAACCATATTCATCATCAAATTTGGGTCGTTGGATCTGATCAGATCAAATGGTTGGTAACGCGACGGCTGGAGTGTTTCACTAGGGTCTTGGAAAACCCTAAAAATGTGTAAATCCATTTGATTGCTCTCTAACCTGACGATGGAGATAGTGCGACACTGAGGGAAAATAATGAAACCGATAGTGCGACACTGAGGGAAAAGAATGAAACCCTAGCTCACTTCCCTTTCATACGTGGGCCATTATTGGGCCTCCTTGATTTGTAATGGACATTTATAATTTAATTAGTTTACTTTCTTTCTTTTTTTGGCTTGGATTTTGTTTATTTATAATAAATAATAATAATAATAATTGTAATAATAATAATAATAAATATTAATTAATATAATAATAATAATTATTATTATTATTATTATTATTATTATTATTATAAATACAGGTTGAAAATGGTGATTACAAATACAACCATGAATGCAATGTCTGGCCTTATAAGAGATAGCTAAATCTGTATACCCTCCTTTCAAGTGACTTCACAATCTCTAGTCATAATGTTAAACCGTAAAAATCCACATATGCCTGTAGATCAAGAAACGACCAACTAAGTTTCTCTTTCTTTCTTTAAAGAGCAAAAAAGAACCGCATCCATGGTCTAAAGATATAGTTGCAGTCAACAAAGAAAAACCATACACACAAAATGAAGAAAGAAGAGAAAACTGAGACCTTCACAGTGGAGTTCTTCATAAGAAATAGAGTAAGGGAGGTTCATGTAATCGGTTTTCTCGTCATGTTTAGTGTGAGCCATGTGGTAAACATCGATCGAAACCGCCGTAGTACCAGGAGGTACAAGCCTCACCATTTTTGGTATCTTGTTTCTGAAGATCAAAACAGCCGCAAGATCAAAACGGTCGCGAGAGTGAGGGTAAAGCATAATAACAAATGTTGCAAATATTGGGTTTCAATTTCTAGATAGAGATGCTTCAATTAGGGGTTTATGTTTAACTTCTGGCGGGACATTACAAATAGGTGAAATGGGAAAAATGAAAAAGGTTAAAAGGGATCGGGATTTAAAGCACGAGTCTATAGTGGCGTTTGTATAAAAATGTCATTAAAGTATGAGTCTTTAGCGGCGCTTGTATAAAAATATCACTAAAGTACAAGTCTTTAGTGGCGTTTGTATAAAAACGCCACTAAAGTACGATTCTATAGAGACGTTTGTATAAAAACGCCACTAAAGTATGATTCTATAGAGGCGCCGCTGAAGTACAATCTTTAGCGGAGTTTGTATAAAAACGCTACTAAAGTACAGTCTTTAACGGTGTTTTTATAGAAACCTACTAAAGTGCGAGTCTTTAGTTGCGTTTGTTTTAAAAATACCGCTATAAACCCATTTTGTTGTAGTGCTTCTAAAGTTTTCCAGGACAAAAACCAAAAGACACTTTTTCAACCACTGGAGAGTGGTGGTAACAGTACTGACAATTACCCTAATTGGAAAGCTAGCAAAGCGTAAGATCTCCTATGCTCGTGGATAAGAACGAACCATATAAATCATAGTTTCAACCTTAGTTAGACACATGGGAATCAATCATTCGAAAGGCCTATAGATCACAATCTATTTCGAATCAGTAATGTATCATGGGCAAGTCTCCAAGCGAAAATCCTAATCTTAGAGAGCACCGACAGTTTGGAGAAAATCTTTCAATTTTTAAAGGTGGTTATCGACACATGAGAAGATCGTTGAAACCAAGAATAGCCCAAACAAATCGAGTATATACTTGTATCATGAGGACCCCAAACTATCGAGTTAGTAAAAATAGGTGTAATATGACACACAAAATCCAATCTGCATTAGCTGGGAGGAAGACTTGACTAATCAACACCTCATTCTATCTAGCCACTCCTGGCAGCATAAAATCATAGCACCAAACATGCCAATGCTCATTATCCATATAAATACCACTTAGGTTAATCTTTGAAGAATTACCCTAATCGTCCTTATGAAATCGAGTAGAGCTATTGACCTCGACTCTTCAAAATAGGCCCTCTGACATAACCATTAAGGCGTGATGTCTTCTTTTCCAAGAAAAGGGACCGCTATCTCAAAGTTTTTCATGGATTATGTCATCATTTTTAAAAAGTTTTAGTGCGGTATACCCTAGAATATAATCAATATGGTTCTTTAATGAGTCGTCACACTTGTTTAACTAGAAGCGCCAGGTTGAAGCCCCTCATATCACGGAAGCCCAACCCTTGACCCTTTTAGGTCTACACATGGTCTTCCAAGCATCTCCTGTACAAGATAGACCGAGAGTAAATATCATAACCTAACATATTGTGGAAGAGTTTCTGCTACGAACTTAAGGAAGACCTCTCGACCTCTAAAGGATAGGGCATTTTTGGTTCATCCAAGTATTCTCATGACTACTTTTTCTTGTAGAAAGCCGAAAGCATTCGTCTTGTTCATACCAACAATGAGAGGTATACCTAGGTAATGAACAAGATCATCAACTTCAATAACTTTAAGGATGGAAGAAATTTTTTGTTGATGCCTAATGCATATTTGGGGGCTAAAATAAAGAATATATTTATCAAGATTAACCTTCTATCCCAATGGACTTTCATAAGTGTGAAGACAATCTACAATACATTTGGCCTTAAAGGTGGGATTTTTTAGGAAAATCAAACTGACATATGCAAATAACAAATGACTAATATGAGGCTCAGATTGGCTAGCCCAAATACCTTTAAGATAACCACTATTTTTCTTAGCTAGTAGTAGTGTCAAAAGTCCATGGGTGTAAAAAAGGAACAGAAGGGGAGATAGATGATCTCCTTGGCGAAGCCCTTGAGTGGGATGAAATTCCTCAGTTAAGGAGCCATTAACTCTCATCATAAATATCACGGATTTGACGCACCTCATAATGTGCTTAACCTATGAGGAAGAAAAGCCTAGTTTAAGCATCACTACACGTAAAAAGGGCAATTGCACCTTATCATATGCCTTCTCTATATCGAGCTTCAAAGCATCATCTATGTTAGGCCCATTTTTTGACGAGTTCAAGTAATATAGCAATTCATGAGCCACCAAAATATTATTTGAAATATGACGACTTGGAATGAAAGAGGCCTGATTCTTGCTAATGCATAATTTCATGTGCGACTTCATCCAATGTACCAATACCTTTGCTACAATCTTGTACACAATTTTACAAACACTAATAGGTCGAAGATGCATCATTCTCTCTGGGTCGTCAACTTTAAGGATCAAAACCAGAACAGTCTTATTTACAAGGCTCATATCGCAAGACCCGTTAAGTAAAACAAAACATAGCTCCGCAATATCTTTTGTAACACCCTAATCCGATACGACTCGAGGTCGACCGATTAGAATGTCACACGGGACTACTATAGTGGCTAACCCTAAAACTTTTCTTTAAAACCTTTGTAAAACATCATTTAAATGTAACATTCTTAACTCGTATTTAATTCAAGGTCATCGAGGTATTTAATTCAATCAGTATTCAAATCTACCTTGGTCGCTTAGGATTTTCCTGAGTAATTCGGTCGTTTCCGTAAATTCGAATACATACAGTACTTCCATTTCGTTTAACTTGATCAAATAATATAGTCATATAGGTATTTGAGGTTGATATATTCATTTTGAAGCTTGAGGGCATTAGTCATTCCAAGTCTTGGAAATACTTTAGGGGCATTTCTATAAATCCAATATAGATCCGGAATTGAAATCGATGATTCCAAGGTTCAAGTGAATCAAGATATGAGCTCTCAGGTCGTCCCCATTATCATAGTCATACATATTTCTTTTTACTCTTTAAGGGTATTATCATAATTTCATTAAATTCTGTCAGTGGCATTACTTCGGGTAACTTAGGCTTGAAAGTATTTCAGTTCCATTAAAGTTCAAAGTACTTTGCTCATTTGCTCACTGGAGGTTAATTTCACCACTAGGGAAAATCTTGGTCCTTTTTCAGTACAAGGGCATTTTCATAATTTTACACCTTAGGGCCATTTTAAGTAACGTATTATCCAAATATTCCCGGTATTTAACCTTAAAAGAAATTAATCAAAATTTATGGATCTTGAAGTCAATTTATTCACTATTGAATCATCGAGCTTATTATTATTTCCGATTAATTTTCCACTTTCTTAAGCGAGCCATATAAGTCCTATTTGGTTACTTATATTTTATAGTATTCGGATCATGTTTAGGAAATAATCACCACATACATGTGACAAATTATACTTATCCATCCAGGAATCAATACTAACATGTTCCATAAAGCATGAAATATGTAGTAATATATTACCTCGATTTTTGTGCCATATCGATCGACCATTTAAATTTCATTCGATCACTCTCGAACTTGAATTCAACGTCCAATAATTCCTCGGATACAAAGCAACTGAATTTACGTTAGAAACTGAACTTAATTTAGAAACTATATTGAATCCGAAGATAAAACCTTGAAAAACGGCTTATCGAATGCGAATTTGGAAAAAATGGACTTCGAAATTAGACTCAGGGTGTCTAAAAACATAAGATAGGGCTTTTCTAAAATTTTGATTTTTTCAGTCAAAGTCAACGGTCAACAGTCAGACCGGCCAAAGTAAACGGTTTGACTGGTCAACTCTGACCAAAGTCAATGGGTTGGGTCAAAGTCAACGGTTCAGGTCGGGTTAATAGTTCGGGTCGGGCAAACGAGTTGACTCGGTTCATTTCAAATTGGGTTGACCGGTTCGAGCCGGTCCAGACCGACTGGACCGGTTCTAGAGACTTCCTTAGAGCGTGAACAAGCCCCACGCGCACCCGACGATGTATGAGGGCGCTTAAGCCGACGAGAAGATGGTTTGACGGCGGCAGATTACTCCCTAGCTCATCAAACATCGATTGCAATAATCAATTTCACTTAAAAATGAAATCAACCCAACCAAATAACCAAAAATAGAACCGGACTTACCTAACGATGATTGGTGAAGAAATGGCAACGATCTGATAACCCACTAGTTGGGTTTGGAGCGTACGAAAACGGTGAACCCAATGGTGCAGGCGGTGAGGCGAGATAACGCCGATGGTGGCCAAAAACGTCAAAAATGAGCGGCGGTCGGGGGGTTTTCGATAGACTTTCCCAACGTGATTTACAGTGAATGGCGTCGAATCAAAATAGGCTAGGGGTCAGGTTTTGATCACCGTTCGACAGTGAGTCTATAGGTGGCGTCAAAGCGTCGAACGGTGGCCGAACGACGATGAAATATAGTGGCAATGGAGGGTCAGAGGGGAGATGGA